CTGGGAAAATACTCATATACAAACCCAACTATCCCAAATACCTCAGCACCCATTTCCCTTTTTTTGGCTTGTCAAGAAATAAAACAACTCATAGGCGAAATACTGAAGAGAAAGCCACTGCAATAAACTTTTTCCTGGCAAGTTTATTTTCTTGTAAACCCACTGAGAAAGTACAGTGCAATCAATACAGCCGAGGCCCAAGTTCTAATTAGAGCCTTCTGTTTGAAAACAGGTTTTCTTTAAACACTACGTGGCTAGTGGTAGTGATAGAATATTCCCCAAAAATAAGAAAATGGTTCATTAGTGTTCATGGAAACAGAAGATCAATCTGCCCCTGTGAAAGTTAATGAATACACAGAAATATCACATCATGACCCCTGATCTCAGTGCCTGAGGCAGCAGAATTATTATGCGCTTGCCAGAATTGCTCAGCAACAGAACTCAGCTGCAACTCAGAGTGCATTAATTTTATCTGTGTGAGTATTTAAATTAGGGACATTCTGGCTGCAAGTCACAAACTTCAAGAGTTGTTCATCTGCTTAAATATTAATGATACTTTTCTGCTATAAGGTGTAAGACAGGAGAGCAAAACTAAATACCAACAATTTTAAGAATAAATATTAACTACAGTACAAGCATGAAGAATAAAGCTGTTTCACTCAGACAAACACTGAAACAACCCCCTTAAACTGCCGTCCTCCCTCGAGGAAGCAAAAAATGTTTTGTTAAATCTTGGTGGGGAAAAAAAAAAAAGGTAAGTTTTCTTTTATTAAAAAAAAAAAAAATACAACCAACAACAAAATCATAAAAAACCCCAAAAGTTTTTAAGTATGATGAAAATACCTTGAGGTCTTGAGTGACTTTTTGCAAGTCCTTGCATGACTCCACCTCCGTCTATAAAACAGAAATGGAGAGGATGTCATCTATCCTTTCTCTGAGCAGCACAATTACTTACAGTGCCCTGTATGCTATTTTAGATAATGGCATTTGCATTCTGTTACCTGTAATGAGAACATCCAAGGAAAAGAAATATAATTTGAAATCTTGATTATTATGATTCTGTTCCCCCTAATGTACTTGATTCCAAGATTAGCCTTTTAAGACCATTACCCACCAAGTCCTGATGCAGTCTGGACTATACCCTCTGTGCTATTACCAGTTTGCTGGTTCATACCTGCTCAAAAGACAGAATAACTTTTCTTAGCATGGATTTGAAAAGTGGGGTAAGCAGGTCTAAGCTTTCTCTTCTGACTCCTTTTTATTTTACCCCTAAAATGTACTTTACCATCTCCACTACTATGACTTGCAGGTTGGCCACTGGTCTTCTGTGGGATGAAAGGGACCAGGGGGTATGGCATTTCTGTCCGGTCTGTTCGGAGCGGCCGTCTCAGAAATGGCACAGCACTACTTAGAGCCATGTGAATAGGAAAGGTTACACAGAGACAAAGACCTGCTCATTGGGACGACTTTGCAGAACACTTTTGTGCCTTTGAAAAAGTTATCTGGGAAGATCTGTGGACATTTGAGAAAGAACAAGGCTGAAGAATATAAAAGGCTGTGCTGGAATTCAGTGGAGCAATTGAAACTAGTCCATAAAATTGTCATCCTCCTTTTACATACAGGACAAGCTCAAAAAAAAAACCAACAAAACCACCAACCCCTTGTGAAGTCCTGCTAATGGGAAAGCCTGTGTGTAGGGCAGAGACTGAAGAAAAATAGATCTCAATGATTTGTCAGACACTGATCCTTGATTCCTGTGGAACCCTGAGCCTCACAGCTCTACAAATGGATTTGCAGCACATTTTCTGAAGCATACCTCTTCAGACAGAGCATAGCTCAGGTACCCAAAAGATTTCCACCCCAGTGCATCTGTCTTCACCAGGGTATCAAATACCATGGACATCCAACTGACACACATGATGGCATCATCATATCAGTATGGTACAGAGCTGGCTGTACAGTTTGAACAGCCCAGCTCCCAGCAACTGAGAAGACCTTTCCCTCACCATAAAGGTGTAACTACAGCAAACCCTCTCACTTTCCTTCAGCTAATGACCTTGCTAACAAAGCAAGTCAGCAATGATGCAAAGATTAAGTATCCTAATCTGTCAGTACCACAAATTAAAACAAAGCAGCTTCTTGATATTGTGTCATACACACACAGTAATTCAAAGCAAAGTTACTTTTAGGTCCCTTTTCCATCCTTCACAAGCAGTTTCAGTGGAAAGAATAGTATCAGAGCCAGTTGATTTAATGACCCTTCATTTAAAGGCCAAGGTTAGAGTAGCTTTTTTTTTCTTCTTTGTAATTGGACTGTTCAACCACAGATAGTCTTACCATATCAATCACTGCATGAGTGAAAGGTGAATAAAAGCATTTACTGATCTGTCATATCCATGATAAAGCAACAGATGCTGTCAGCTCTAAAGAGAATCCATTACAGAAGTAAACCTGGAAGATAAAGACCTATTAGTGCTTTTCAATCACTTAAGTTAGCAGTTCAGCTTTGAAACAAAGTGAACATAGTCCTTATTTACAATAAATTAAGCTTATCTTCACACTACGGTATATCTTAAACAATGATGGTATAGTGACTTTTTTTCCTTCAGAAACACATTTACCTTCACCACACTCATGGTTTGCTTCCTTAAAAGCCTCCGTCATCTCTGGTTCCATTACTATGACCCTTCTGGATGCAGAAACCAAACATCTTACATTTCCCAATGTTTTACTTCAATAATTGATAATATGTTTATTAAAGGGATATATAGATGCTAAACCCAAAACCAGTTAAAAAAAAAGGTCTTACTGGAGTGACTGTTACCTCAGGACACTGTGAAAACCAGAAAAGCTGAACTGACTTGGAAACACTGTCTCCTTCCTTATTCCTGGAAAGTCTGTTTAATAAAGGAAGGTGAAGACATTATACAGTGCACAGTGCAATTCAGGAGCTGAACTATCCCAAGGTGTCAGCACTGTAGCGGGGCACAGGTATCTGTAGTAGCCAAGCACATTAGCTTGGGATCAGCCACTGTACAGGACTCCAGCCTTGCCAGCCTTAAGCAGAGCAGAATTACTTCAGCTGTCTCGAAAACTTAATGCTTTTACATTTCTTTATGACACTCACTTGTTTTGCAGCAACATGGCCTTGTTGCCTCATGTTCTGCTTGTAATCCACAATAACTCTTACATCCTTTTCTAAAGGGCTGCTATCTTGCTTCTCTTCCCATTATGCGTTTGTGAAGTCAATTAGTCTTGCTTATAAGCACTTGTCCCTATCAACTTTCTTTAATTTATCCAGATGATTTTGTATTCCAATCTTGTATTCCTGTGTCTTTCCTCCCCATTTTATAGATCTGCAGTTTTAATAAGCACACTCCCTACTGCTCCATCCAACTGATTAACCATGACTGGAAGCAGACCCAGAACTGCATGCCACTCTGGATACCCTCCTCCAGAGCTGAACACTGACAGTATCTCTGAGTACAGCCCACTGTAACTATGAGTATAGTTTTGAAATCTTCTTTCAGTCATCATATGGGTCATGATCAACAGCATGCCCTCCCAGTCTGCTTTGAAAATTCACATTCAGAATTAAAACCCAAGATATTTGCTATTTTTTACACGAACTGTAAGAACATTACCTCTGTCATATAAGAAAATGAATTTGTACTGATTTATTCTCTACAAACATGAACAAATGAAGCTCGTTCCCTACAAAACTACTGCGGCCGTTGCATTCTTCTGCTTTTCTTCCAAGATACCTGCTGAAACCCTAGCTGCTAACATTATACATGCCTAGATAAATGCAATTACCATTAGATTTGAATCCCATATTTATTTCTATTAAAAATATGCAGAGACCATATCCCCCTGTGGCACAATCAAAATAAGACCTAGCCCTTGAAGTTGTTAAGTGAGCAGGACTAAGATGGTTACAATCAGTCTGACTTGTAATCTGATGAGGCATTCTTACTCAGAGCTTGTTAACAAAATGACTTAACTACACCTCACTAAGCACAGTGCTTCACTTGCATCCGGGTCTTTCTATTTATTTCCTACATTTTCTGACCATTTGGTACAGCACACAGTAGTCAACCATGCTATTTTTGAAGAGTCTGTTTGCTGTTAAATAAAGATGCTGGTGTCAATCTATTGAAGTAGTACCTAACACAGATGCTGTCACAAAACAAAAATCAGCTTTCTGCCCCGAAATGGTTTGTTCTACTACTCTGTTTCACTAGGACACCCAACAAGTGGTTATATGGCTTTAGATGTGGATGGGGGATCCACAGCAAAACACTGTCCTCATCTATTCATCCATCTATCCTTCCTTTCTTCTAGTGTTGCAGTGGCTCCACAACAGCTCTGCTCATGATGTTGGTAGTGATGACAAAAAGCACTGTACAAATTAAGTATGACTTTTTTATTTCAAGCATTTACAGAGATGGAAATAAATACAGGAAATAGAAGATAGAGAGGGTGCTTTTAAAAGAAATCAATCAAGTCTTCATCAGGCTTCAAACAGGAAAAATTGTATCCAATAGCTGCTTAAAACTGGCCATCATTTCAAGGTCAAGGATTAGGCTGAACAATAACGTAAATAGCTCAAGATAAGCATTACAACAAACAAGGATGACACAGCTGACATCAGTGAACACACAGCTGTAATGGACAAAACAGAACCACACTACAACAGAAAAGTCTCATATTTACAACATAGCTATCATACAAAAACATTTGGAAATATTTAGGCAGCGATTTCTTCTCTGTCCAGCTGTAAGATATAAAAGATACACTAGAGGATTTGTTGGGTTTTTTTCAATATCTACAGAATAGTTTTAGCTTTTGGCAAAGTTTAAAAAAAACCACTTTGTATTGCAAGAATTTTTTATCCAACCTGAACTTTTCCATGTTTCCATCCTTGTTTATCAACATCACTGTCATCCACCGGGGCAGTTTGTCAAAGACAAAGAGTTTGTAAAGTTCTTTGCAGTCTTTTATCGATGGTCTGACCTGTAGGTTGGAAAAGTGTCCGTGCGATGAAGCTTCACTGGGCTAGAAACATCTTCACCAAGTGAGATACAAAAAAAACCCAAAACAACACTCAGTAAGACACAGGTATCTTATTCAGCATTTTATAAAGGACTATGTGAAATAAAGATTACAGGCTTTTCATTAAACCCATCTCTGCTTAATCTGCTGCTCCATCTCAGAAACATCTCCAACTCAGATTTTCTTTCCCAGTTCTTTACGATTAGAAAGTTGTACAAAGCAAATTAAATTTTTTTAAAGTTCTGACTTTGCATTTTAAATATAAAAAGCACTTTAACTCACAATAGCAGCATCATCTCTTTCCTGTATATTAGAAGAGAGGACAAGAGCCAACTCAGAAATCATAAATTCTGATTTTGATGGAAAAATTTTTTGCAATACAAGGTTTTCAGGTGCCTCTACCATTGAGTCAGCAAAATGCTCCTTCATTTCAGTTATACAACTCAGTATAACAATGATCTTATATTTCTTTTTCCAGTAGCAATTGAAGCCTATCAAGATTTTGGCAATCTAATGTAATTAGAGGTGCTCCGGGTACCACTGAAGTAGTAGCCTTGACTGCTGAACACCACAAGGACTTCAGTGTCTTTCCTAATCACAACATTGGCTCTATGTCTTACTTATTTTACACAGACTTTTACCCCATTCTCATGACGACAGGCTCCTGGGATCCTTTTTTTTCCAGCTTAACAAGCAAGCTATTTTCTAAATATAAAACAAGTGGGGTTTACCCATGCAGTCTATTTATCTTGTGTCAACTCAGTGCTGAATTGTTGCTTTAATAAAGGACTCTATAGTAAGGCACAGTAAAACCAATCCACTGATTGTGTCAGAGTGCTGCAAGCAGCCTTGTTCTCGTGTGCCACAGGCTGCCACCAGTAGGTCATCTTCCCATGCCCTAATTTATTGAACAAATGTGACCAGGCATGTAAGCGCTGCCTTCATTATTCCTCCTTCCCCTGGAACACTTGCCGGGTGTAGCTGGGGCTTTTTGTGTGCTGCCTGCCCCCTCTAGTGTTGAAAAAAGGAAAACTAAGTAGATTTTATCATTTGCAGAAAATCGGGAGGACTAGAATGGAACATGGCTATGGATGTCAGGGCTGACAGAGCCTGCGATTTTTAATCACAGCTTGTGACGTTCCGTGTTCTGGAGCTTTATTAAAATCTCCAGCTACTATTAAATCTCCAGTACTATTAAAAAAAGTACAATAAATGTCTTTCATTATTCCTTGAGAAATTCCTGGCATTCGAGGAAGACAAAAAAGACACATAAAAAAAAGAGAGACTAAAAGTTTTCTCAACCAGGATGTTTTAAAATATCTGCCTAGTGATTTCTGAACAGTTGATGTTAGTAAAGGGTATCTCCACATTGGTACTGGAAAGCCCTGCCAGCTCCTGGGGTTTTCTGCTAAACACAGATTCACCTAGGGTTTTTTAGCAGGATAAGGCACTGAGAGTAGGGCTGCGCCTTGGAGCAGCACACAAGAGCCCTGAGCTTCGGGGATGACAGAGAAATCAACACATGCCCTGGTAGGTTGATTCAGTTTCTAATGCCCCTATGATGAAGGGAAACTACTTAAGTCCATCTTTATCATTCAAATGTTTAATTGAGCTCAGCCTTTATTCTGTATGTTGTGAGAATAAAGTTATGGTGGGTATTGGCTCCTTCCATTCCATATTCCAGGCTGATGCACTTGTATGAAGTGTCTAGTCTGTTTTCTGCAGACTTCTCTAATGCCCTTATCCTGACTTCCCAACTCTGCAATACCAACTTCCATACAAACACTAACTCGGCCAATCCACACAGCTTAGAGTGGAAGAGTGTGTTTTGAAACACAAATGGGATGTTGTTGTTTGACTACATGACTCTGAGACGCTGACTTTGGACCAGCTCCTCAGAGGTACTGAGCTCCTCTAGCTCCCACTCCAGGGGTGCCTCTGGGGAGACCAGCTCAGAGCAACAACAGCACACATTGGGTGCTGCAGTTCTCACTGTCTCAGGAGACTGAAGTTCAGTTTTGAAACACAGGGGAATGGACGGCTCCCGCCAGCCCTGCTGCAAACGCCACCAAGCACCCTTCCTGCAGCAGGGTGTGCTTCCCCTCCATACCCCCCCATGCACCCAGGGACTCTCTGCAGCCTGAGGTTTTAAGGCATAAGACTGAGCTGTGCTACCCCTTGGGCTGACAGCAAAGAGGGGATCCGGAGAAGACATCTGCCCATTTTCAGGCCATGCTGCAATGCAGGGTGGCAGCACTGCAGCTGTTCAAGCAAGTTTTCTACAACTACTTATCATGGCCATTTCCTTTTCCTTTCCCTAATTCAGCTGGTTTTGAGGATGCAGTTTTGGTTGAATGTACACAAAATGAATAATGAAGACTGCGTCATTCTTCCCATGAGGCAGCCATGCAGAGGAGACAGGACTCAAATGATTGTAAGTCTGGCAAACAAAATCAGGTGCCATTAAAATATTTGGTAGCAGAAAGGATTGGGCAATCTTGGTAACAGGCCATCCTGTACAAACTGTCAAAAAATTTGTCAAATGAAGGATCCCTCTCCAATGGGAAGAAGGGCACTTCCTGATTATAAACCCCTCTGCCAAGTTATCCATCTTAAGGTGGGAAGTGCCCTTCCCTCCATCAGCCAGACAAGTGCTGGCAACTTGGTTAACTGAACATCAGCCTTCAGTGAGCTGGACAGACACTGAAATGATTCAACAATGTCCTGATCCAATTTGTGCACTGAATCTTCCCACCCCAGCCCCTTACCTTTCAGACCATAGAGCTTGCCAGTGCTGTGCTGTCGTGTGATGTGCTGCCAGTAGGCGCTGCGGGGTAAGGGCACCATGGTGCTGAGGGACACGGCTCGCTCACTCATTTTCATCTGAAGCTGCAGAGCAACAAACTGATGTGAAGGAGACTGAGAATAGCGCAGCTACTGGCTGCAAGGCTGCTAATGAAAGAGCCAGCACAGCCTCTCCCTCCCTCCGTCTCCCACCTTACACGAGCAGCAGCGACTAGCTCAGGGGTTAGTCTCCACGGGAAGACACCACTCGGCTTAGGAGGCCACACTGCTGTTGCACACCAAAGCTCACCTTGGTGCTGCCCTGGTCCTGGGCTAGCACTGCTTCCCCTGAGGGGAGTTGTAACTCAAGCAGCTGAAACAGAAACCGAGGATCAGCAGAAGGTAGAAGGTGGCTGGTATGCTCCCCCTTTAGCTGCAAAGCCATCAGAGGGTCTTCCCAGCTACACAAGCAACTTCCCAAAGCTAAATACAGCTTCAGGACACCAAGAACCTGACTGGACATGTTTCACATGGGTAAGGACAAGTTGTTCTTGTTAGTTTTGAAGCATTTTCTATTCACCTTTCCTACAGCTGAGCAACATATCAGCTGAATGGCATGGGATTGAGATAACTGCATCCTTCAGCTAGATTGCTTGAAGGTATGCTGCGAGGAGGGCACACAGGCTGCAGTGCATTGCTGGAAGCCCCAACTCACACTTCCTCCTCCATACAGGGCCTTCAGCAATGTTTTCTTACATAATCACAGCCCCTTGTTATTTATACTATACTTACTTAACACAAAAATACGTGAGAACTGACTACTTTAAGGCATTTTTTCCCATTAATTCAATAAGATGTATGTGCGAGCTAATAAAAATATTCGAATTTTACCAAAAGCCTCACAGCACAGTTAAAATTCTCCTGCCACAGCTCAGTGCAAACATACCAAGACTGCACTTGACTTTTCCAGTTTATAAAGACAGCTTTTTTCAAAAAGGGTAAGTTTTACACTTTAGTTTCATGAAACCTGAGGTGAAAGAAAGAAGCTTTTACAAGATGATTAGTATATTCTAGAGCAAAACCAAACAGGCGAAGCAAGCACAGAAAAGAGGCGAGGGCTGGCTGTATTGGAACAGACCCATTTCCAAGTTATTTAGAGGTGCCGTCTACCTTCAGCCTAATCCTTGTACAGTGGACACTGTGCCTGTGATGTGAAGGTAAAAGCAAAATGAAACCCAGATCAACTCCTGCTCTTAAAATGCCCACCTCTGCGTCAGCTGGGTGTGAGTCACTGCACTATGCAAGATTCCACCTACATCACACAGTGTATTTCTACAGCTCCTTCACTAGAGCCCTGACATCCTTCATAGTGTCACCACACACACCTCAGCACCATGGAAACAAACTATGAGGGATCTTGGGAATACAAATCAGCAGAGCATTGAGAGAATGGCATTTCCCTGTAGATGCCATTTTTGGTGGTTCCATTTGGCAGGTTAGACAGCAAGCTAAAGCTGTTCAAGCAACAGTCTAGCTGTCAGGAGTGCAAAAAGCTATCTTGGGAGGAAAGAAAGAGGCACAGCTAGAGAAACGTTAGATAAAGATACTGAAAAGGGCCGGAAAGGGTGACCCTCCTGAACTCAATCAGCAGGGGGAAGAATTAAAAACCCCATAGCTGGAGATAAGAATTAGCATGTCATGTCCTGAATTCGCAGCGCTTCATCAAACCACCTTGGACTGCAAGCAAAGGCAGCTTTAATGATGATTGATTTCATTCTCACAATTAACCTATTGTATCTCTACAGCAACAGAAAGAGGAGGAATAACTTGCTAATGACCTGGCTTTATGCTGCAGAAGTACCTGGCACCATAAGCAGGTCAAAAGCAGCCAGAATTGATATGCTGGAACACGTATGAGCAACATGTTGGGAGCAGAGCACCAGGTGGGGCACACGGCTCCACGTAGCAAGCTATTTGTTGTATTAATAACTGGAGGGCACCTAATCCGGAGCCTCTTGCCCTCTTCTGCCTAGGGGAGAAGGAGAATGCTGAATCCTGAGAGGATAACAGCATCCCCACAGCAGTCTGAATGCAGCTCCCTGCACGCATGGCAGGGATCAAGTTATGTTAAGCCACATTCAAACCAAAGAAGCAGCAACAGTGTGAGAAGTAATGAGGGACAACACAAAGCCAGCTGCAGCTCTGGTGGCTAAGAGAGATCCACAGAGGAAGGGGTTGAGGATGGGGAAGAAGCAGCCACTTCCAAGAGCAGCTGGGGAGCTGCTGTGCAACCTCCTGTCACCCAGACGAGACATGGAAAGAGCTATACACCAAGGCAGTTTGCTGAGCCACTGCACAGCTCTTGGTCAAACACAGGGTGAGGCTGGTTCCCAGAAAGTAAAAGTGCTGATAAAAATAATGCCAAACCACCAAAAAACACCCTCATGCAACACAAAACCCCCACAAAAGCCTTAAAAAGAAACACCCGTGCACCAACATTCTCTCAAGTTAGCTGTGAACATGGCTCCAAAAGGAAAGAAAAGGAAGAGGATTTAAGATTTTGTTAGGTTTGGTTGGTTTCCTCGTGCTGGACAATCCTATTTTCAAAGAACAACTTGCACTAGGTAAGCCTTCATCTTGAGATCCCCAGCTGGAGAAGCTTGCACTCACTGTGGTTTTGAGAGGGTTTTCTTCCCATGGAAGCAAATTTAAGTAATCCAAATCAATTAGAACAATAACTGCTTAAGAACCATTTGCTAAATTCATTACAGCAAAACCACAGAATGGTAAACTAAGAGGAACAACTTCAGAAATTGAAGGGCACTAACATTGCTGCTGCTTTGACTACTACCCATCTTACACCAATACTCACTATTCTCCTCTCATGCCAAAAGTGAGTGAGTAGCATTTCTACTCTTAATTATGGATCTCTGTGGAAATGGCCAAAGATAGTAGCAGGCTCCAGCTTAGACAGAGGCACACCAGGTGGATCACACTTGAGCTGCTGAGAGGGGAAGAAATCAGGGAAGGCTGCTGACAAACCAGCTGATAGTAGCATTCTATGAAGCATGGAACTTCAGCTGCCAAAACTGGGAAGTTTGCTGTTATTACTTCTTAGTGACATGTCAAGTTGTAATTGATTTTTAAAGCAACCTGAACTGAGAGCAGGCATAAATGGTAGTAGTCAATTCACAGCACTGCTCCCGTGAGTTTGCACAGCAACCAAATACGCATGAAAATATAACCTGAATATTTTCTTTCCATTGTCTGGCAATGCAAAAGTGAAAGGAACTAAACCACTGGATGAAATGAGCTACCAAATGACCAGAAAGGTTTCATGCATCACTAAGGAAAGCCAGCTCTTTCTTCCCTTTAAAAGAAAAAAAGGAGAGATCTTTGAATTCACTGAAAAGGAAAATAAATGAAACCAGCTCATGCAAGTGGCACTGACTCTGGTCAACATATGCTCAGACCTCAGCAGAAAGCAACAGCATGTTAACAGAAAGTGTCAGGGTGAGGTTCCCAGCTGAAGAACCACTACTGCATCAATTTCCCACATGCATTTCAAGAGCCAGAGCCAGTTACAATCACAAACGGAACCAACATACTGTGATATAAAGAGAGCGACTGCTAGGGAGGTGACAGACACATTATAGCCCACATTCTCAACAGTACTTGGCAGCTTTATTTCACTCTAGCAGCATGGGATATTCAGCTGCTTGGGTTTTGGTGGTGGTGTTTTTTTGTGTGCACAGGCTCCAGAAGCCCTCAGGAGCTGAATACCATATTCACCCTGCTCTGGGATAATCATATCACTGATGTAGCAGTGGTTAGGATTACAGGAACAAACAGAAGACATGCAGTGTAGACTTCTTCTCTCACCACCATATCTCCTACCTTCTTCTATTTACTCTTTCTGTAAATAATAGCTCAAGCTTCACTACTATCAAAATTCATAGGGTAAATAATTCTTGGAGACAGAAATCACATAGACAGCCAAGCATGAAGCGCAGGCATCTCAAATTAACTCCTTGTTGAGGCTTTCAAAAGCAGGATAAAAATACAGAGGAAACCACTCAATGTGAACAAAGACGTACTTTACAAATATTTTGTCATCAGCAAAAGAAGCCTCCTGAGTCTACACTGATACAACAATGCTCTGCTTAAACTTCTAAATCTGACTATCCTTGAACTCCAGAGAAGCCACTGAGTCTTACTACTTCAGAACCAATGTTTCCATGACAAACTTGGGAAACTCGTATTCGGGGCATATGGATTCATCTGCTACTAAATTACAAGACTTTCAGTCCACCGGGGATATGTTCTTAACCCCCACTTAGTACTCTAGGGTCCATAAAATTAGATTTAGGGGCTATGGTCGGACACTGTTTGTGAAAAAGCTTTTAGAGGTTGTGCAGCTGCTTTATATTGAACTCTACAGCAACTCTGCATCTGTTGAGTCTATTGGCACTTCTAAGATGGAAATTTTACAGTACAACATCAGACATCATCTATTAAAGATGCTATTATGCAAACGTAAAACCAATAAATATGGAATTGCCTGTAAGCCTACTCACTATTCCTATAGAACTTACCCCTGGTTTTTGAAAATGAAGTTGTGCTTTCAACAGGTTACTCCATCGCTTCTGATCCTGGTGGGCTACAAATGTTAGCTAGTTATGCTGAATTAGCCTAGGTTAATTTTAATCTTCTTGATTTAGTTGGTGTTGAGTACTTGTATCACCTACCCATCTGTCTCAACTCAGATAATTTTGGATATTTTTGAACACAAACTCCCTTCGTTAACTAGAACTAAAAAGTTCACACGAAAGGCTCCAAGTCAGTACTTCATCCTCAGACAGACACAGTGCTCTCCCTTGGGCTTTACAGAAGGGAACACATTGTAATGATACTAGCCAGAAGTTAACAGAGCAGCAATAACTGAACACTAGTATATCACACTACATAAATATAAAATATATAGTGTTTTATTTATAACACTAATTAGGCTCTTTCCTGTTGAAAGCAAAGGCATCACACAACCCACGTAGAAACAGACTCAAATTTTCCTCATTTTCCCATTTCATTTATCACAGAATCATAGTTGGGTTGGTAAGGACCTATCATAGAATAGCTGGGTTGGAAAGGACCTTAAGACCATCTAGTTCCAAGCCTCCTGCCATGGGCAGGGACACCTCACACTAGACCATGTCACCCAAGACTCCATCCAACATGGCCTTGAACACTGCCAGGGATGGGGCAGCCACAGCTTCTCTGGGCACCCTGTGCCAGCGCCTCAGCACCCTCACAGTAAAGAGCTTCTTCCTTATATCTAACCTAAACTTCCCCTGGTTATCCCACTTGTTAATAAAGAGTTAATAAGAGACTGATACACATTAGCTGCAAGTGCCATAAACTGCCTTCCTTAGACAGAATGCTTCTGGAGATCCCACACTATCTTTTCTCAATCTGTATGTTAGTTTTGCATCTTACACTTCTACATCCTTCCATGTGTTGTAAAACAAGTTCTAGATACAAAAGACACTTGTGGAAAACAGACATCCACAGAGATATCAGACAAACATCTCGTCCTCCCCCTTAGTTTAATTTGAACCATATGACTCTTTCCAAATCATCCTTGGAGTGTAGACACCAATTAGCAAATGGAAAACTGAGCATGAGCCACAACATCTTGCAAATAGATTGATGAAAAATGCTTCCAAATAAACTCATGATGCTGATTAATCAAAGGAACCTAATGAGAATGTGCACCGACAGGAACTTATCATCTCTGTATTGATTCACACTTCGTGCTAGCTTTGCAAACACAAAAAAATCAAGGACTAAGTTCCCTGGTTTGATTCTTGAAAAGCAGTCCCAGTTTATATATATACTACCCTAACTGTAATCAGGCAGAATTTAATAAAAGCAATAATCAGACTGCTTACTATCTGTGAATCAAAACTTAAGATCACATTGAAGAAACATATCGTTAGTTGGTGCCTCTGTGAAGCAACAGACGTATCAAGCAGCCGTACCATGGAATTTTTCACACTCTGCAACAAGCGCTCATGTTGTTCTGCTATGGCTAAAGCAGCCGAATGAACCTTCTGATAGATTGCTTCCCCATCTCTGGTCTGAAAGATGAATAGTCCTTCTCCTGTGTCACACATCCTGCCAAAGCAAGAGCAGATGAGATCCAAGTGTGAGATTTAAGTTTTCACGAGCAAGCAAAAGTTTATTGTGCTGCTCTAGAAGTGCTATTGCACAAGCAGTAAGAAAACAAAGGTTGTTGAAATATGGAACAAATCTTGCTATTTTAGCCTACATTTGTATTGCTCTCACCATACAGGGACTCAGCTAAGTACCACTGATCTATCTTAAGTGCTAAAGCTCTAGAGAGATCATGCACAAGACACTGATTTTTAATATTTAGACCCTATCTAGAATCTGTGCCAGGTAGGTTTGTCTTCCCCTTGTAGACTTTTAACACTGCCTGTAATGAGCTTTGCAGAGTTTTGTCTTCCACTTGAAACAATAAATATATATCCTCAGCATTCCAATTGCTTTGTCCTATCATGGCTAATGCATAATCAGCTAAATAAAAATGTATCCTTTCCCCCCACCAAGGGAGCTAAATTCTGCAGTAATATAGAAGATGGACATTTAAACACCTCTTCCCTTTCCAGATAAGTTAATTGTATGATCTGTTTCTCTTTTACTATTGTAATTCTTTAATGTGCTCATCCAAAATAATGCATCCATATCCTTTAGAAAGGATTTGATAGCCCAATAAACAAGTGCTCCAACTTCAACCAGCCAGACTTCAGCTCATCAAAACTGAGCTGCAGGAAGCAATACAGAACATCATCTCTAAAACAAGGAATTGCATTCAAATTTCTTACAAATTCATTTGTCAAAAAGATGCAAAATAGTAATACACTCAATGGAAAAAGAGGAGTTCCTGCTCCATTACTTCAGTTTGCTTTTGGGAAACAACTTGGCACTCATTGCTCTCAACTTCAAATTCCACTTCTAGTACAGAACCCATAACTCTGTGCCCAAAGGGTACATGATGTTCACCCCTTCTTCCTAGACCTGTCTGTCCAATTCTCTGTTTCATATATAGCTTTATTGAAGAACAACCCTATGCAGTAATACACAATGGTGCCAGCCTTCACCCTGCAAACCCCTGGGATACCTCAGCTCCTCCACCCCCATCCTCAGGCACTTTTATTTGGCAACTGCTTCCTTTCAGGCTGTGACCTGGGATTAAGAGGGTTTTTTTATTTGGTTTTATTTTTGTTT